CCCCTGCCCAACCTAAACCAACCACCCACCCTCGCCCGCCGGTGGTGGGAGTGGGCCTGGCGGGTCCCCCAGGCCCGAGGAGGGCGCAGGGCAAAGGAAGAGAAATCACAACTTGTCATCGACGCCCCCTCCACGCCGCTCCACGCGCGCACGCCGCCGCCCGACCACCACGGGCTGAATTATTTCAGTCACCCAATCCCGGGGTCCTGGTCCCTTCCCCCTAGAAGAGGCTCTCCCCGGCCGGCGGACCGTCCCGTCGTGCTCGTCCTCTAACGAACGGCGCGGCCGAAAAGTAAGAGGCGGCCGAGGGCTCCGTCCTCCAGTAAGGGGGGCACACTCGGACGGCACACCCCCGACGCGACACGGCCTGAGAAAAGAGTCAACTTCCGGTCGCTACTTCCTTCCAGCCTACGGCTGCTTCCGCCCCCGGCGCCAGCAGAACGAACGGCATGCAGGCCGACTGGGGGGTTTAAGAAAAAGAGTTTAGGGTGGGGGGGTGACATTAGCCACAAACGAGCGCAGCGAGTGGTCTGCTGCTGAGAGCCGCACGGCGCGACTCAAAAATGTCAAGAAGGAAATAAAAGCGCGCTGTTGGCAGTTCTCTCTCTGTGTGTGCAATTTTCTGCAAAACGCTCTCGGCTCGGCTCCCATCCTGCGTCCCCTCCCCTCCTCTCCCCCGCACAAAACACATTGGCGGGGGAGTAAAAGTCTCGTCAGACAGACAGCTGCTGCGCTGCAACGAGGGGGAGGGGAGCAAAAGGAGGCCCCCGGTGGGTTCGCGCCCGCCGCGCAAACGCACAACAAACCGCGTCAAAATCATTCGCCGCCGGTCGTTGACTCCCTCCTCCCTGCTCCCACTACCCGCCGCCGCCAGGATGAAATACAACACGAAATACTTTCTTGGGCACTTTCACTCTCACTTGCACCGGCAAAGGGCGAAGCGTTGCGCGTGACCTCGACTCATCAACCCGCGTGGCGGGGCGGGGCGAGTCAGTCTGGAGGCATGCCGGGACGGACAGTGCAGCCCCCCAAACACCCCAACCACCTCCCGGGGCCGACGGCGGGCCGGGCGAGATAGTCCACTCGGCTGAGGGGGCGAGGGCGTGGTCGCGCATACCCCACCCTCTCAGCCCACCCCGGCGCCCACACTTCGGGCGCGCACACACACACACACATACATACACACACACGACGTGTGTGAGCCAGCCCGACTGTGTTTTCCCTGCCTGGGATCTATTAGGCCCTTGGCAAGCAAAAGCAAAAAAGAAAAAGGAAAGACAGCGAGAGAGAGACAGTGAGAGAGAGAGAGAGAGAGAGAGAGAGTAGGGTGGACGGAGTAAGTTTGCCATGGCCGTGCTTGCGCAGCCAGCGCAGCTTGCGCCCTTGTGTTGGCCTTGATCGAAGGACGGGGTCGAGTGGGGTGTAAAGGGATTCGTTAAACTCGAGAGTAAACTGCCATCGCCCGACAGGGAGGTGACAGAGTGCGGGGGCGTGGCTCGTTACAAGGGTCGTCTCCGGCCCTCCACACCCTAGAGCTCGTGGAGGGCCCGTTGTCGCTGGACCGCACGTCAGTGCACAGGCGCGCCTGCATCCGACCGCCGGGCAGCGGAGAGGTGCGGAGTGGAGAGAGAAGAGAGGAGTGGAGAGGAGTGGATGGAGTGGAGACTCGGCGGGGGGCGAATTAGATCAACTGCAGTCCAATCGAACAATGTCCTCGTCCCCCGCCATCCCCCTTTAACCCCTCGCCCACCCCACGCCCGTCCCAATCGGTATAGCCACCTGGGCCCTACTGGGGGTTCATTCTCTTGGGAAGGGCGGCGGGTGTTCGGGGAAGTCCACGTGTCCACGTTCAGCCTCGGAGTCCCCCAGTGGGGGGGGGGGGG